ATGTCGTTGAGAACGATGTTGCAAGCACTGTCACAGTAGCAGTTGACAAATAGACGCTAACACATTCTCCATTATAAGCACACACAGAGAAGGAGATGATGTAGAGAGTGTTAAAGCACCTACAGTGCAAAATGTTGTAAATATAAATAGCGTAAAGAATGATACTATAGTGGAGATTATAGTATCATTCTTGCTAATCTTAGGGCTTTTCAAGACATTTCATGGAGAACGTTTGAGGTCCCTGCTACAGATTTGGAAAACTTGAGTACTGACGATATGATAAGGATCACTACTATGCGACACACTACCACCACTTCACGAGGCTACTAGCTCGAGGTCTCCCCCCTGCTTGTTGATCAAAAAAATAGTGGAGATTATGCTGTATACTATTTATGTATTTATTATAATTGCTTTGTAATTATCTCCTTGATTTCTGGAGATATAGTTTCCTATTTCTCATGTTGTAATTTTCTATTTATACTCATTTTGTGCTATCAATGAGAATCAATCATTCAGAAAACTTACATGGTATCAGAGCTTTGGTTCTAAACCCTAATGCAACTGCTTTTTTTTAGTTCGGGTTTCGACCAACTAGTAGGGTTTTGACCCTTTTGCGGTTAGCCGCCGGCCACCCTTATCCGATCCCGCTCCCTGTCATTCTCCCACCATGGGTGACAAAGCCGATACATCCCACACCACCAAACTACTAGTTGCCATTCACCCGGTATACACAATCACTGACATCCAGAAGAAAGTTTGCATGCTGGATGGCACAAAAGTCACATATTCTACGTGGCTGAAGCTTTTTAACCTTCATGCACATGAGTACGATTTTCTTAATCACATCACCTCTGAACCACCAGCTGAAGACGACCCGTCATATGCCCAATGGATGAAGATCGACGTTATTTTCCATTAATGGTTATACAGAACATTGTCTGAAATACAGGCTTCGTGTTCTTGAAGTACTATACCTTCCACTCCACTCCAAACATGGAACCGAGTCAAGGCTATCTTCCATAACAACAAAAGATCACCTTGTAGCCTTACAAACCCATTTTGTGAGTCTAGAACTCAACTCCAAGCCCTCTTTGGAAGCCTATTCTCAAGCCCTTAGGGACTCGGCAGTCCAATTAACCGATGTTGATAGTCCTATGAACAAGCGAACCCTAGTTTTACAACTTGTTCGTAGTTTGCCTCGAGAATACGAGACCATTGCATCCATCATCAACTGTGAACTCCCGTCATGGAACAAAGCATGTGAGATGCTCTTTAGAGACATGGAACGCCAAGCCGATCGTAATGGCCCTCCTCCTGCTGCTGAACCAAAGTCACGCGCTCCTGTGAATTCCAGCTACCGTGACAACCCACCCGAGACAACCCCCGCGACAACCCTCCTTGATGTGACTCCTCCTACTTTAATAGGTATGTCAGAATTAGAGGGGGCCTCGATGTGACAACAACCAAATCGGAAACCAGTCCCTTTACGGGAACCAGTCAAGTTCAGGCAACCATACCCGCAACCAAAACCGCTTCTCCTGGAACTCATCCTATTACCCACCAATGCCACCTCCCTTCTTGGTGAATTCCTACTGGCGACACCACCACCACCGTGCTTGTACCCACCAACCCTGCTAGGCTTCTCCTTGGAACCCTACAGAGCAGTCGTAACAACCTCCTGCCTCTGATTAGTCCACTTTGCAGGCGCATATCAGTGATCTCAACCCTCTTGAGCCGACTGAACCTGCTCAAGCTTTCAACACCATGACAGTAGGAGGCGACATCCTTGGTGGGTTCATGGATACTGGTGCTTCCGATCACCTCACTAGGTAGGTATGATTTCTCACCCTGTGATGGTTCTATTAAAATGTGTTTGTTGGAAATGGACATCACTTACCAATGATTGGATCGAGACCTACTACCCTACTCTCCACCTCAAAACCGCTCTAACTTTAACACATCCTACATACCCCCAATATCATAAAGAACCTTATTTCTGTTCAAAAATTTATCCGTGACAATTGGGTGTCTATTGATTTTGATCCAGATTATTCGAGTGGGACGATTCTGAGTCGACACAACAGTGCCAATAATCTCTACCCGCTCACCAGTTTTAAACCACTAGTCCAACTGCTTTTGTTTCCACAAGTTCTCAAGGCTCTTGGCACAATTGTCTAGGACATCCTAGTTTACATGTTCTAGTTTAATTAAATTCCAAGAAGCTTATTTCTTGCAATAAACAAATTTGTACTATTTTTTGTGATTACTATCAAATTGCTGAACACAAACGTCTACCTTTTCATTTGTCTACTTCTTACCTTGTGTATCCTTTTGATATTGTTCCTTGTGAACTGTGGACATGTCTTATACTTAGCAAACATGGTTACAATTACTATTTAATTGTGATTGATGACTTCACTAGCTTCACATAGGTGTTTTTATTGAAATTTAAATTCGAGACCTATACTAAATTCACCTAAATTATAAGTTCATATCCACCCAATTTCACTGCCAAATTAAAACTTTTCAGTGTGACATGGGTGGGGGATTTGACAACACCCAATTCACAAACTTTGCCAATACCCACGGATTACAATTTTTATTTTTCCTGCCCACACACGTCCCGACAAAATGGGACAACAGAGTGCATGATTCATGTTCTTAATGAGATCATGTTGTCTCGATCTCCTCACACATGCCAAAACTGGTCAAGAAATTTGAACTTTCTAGTAAAAAGAAATGATTGGCATTTGGAAAAAATATAAAAAAAATGTGTTACTTTTATTTATTTAAAGATAATCAAATTTGAATTTAATTTCAAATGATCAATTACTAGTGGAGATGAAAAAATAATAAAGTGAAAGGGAATAAAATTAGTTTTGGTTCTCTACTATTTGAATAATATAGTTTAATTTGTTCAAGTGAACCTATTTTCTTGACAAACAAATTATGTCAAATGATGTGCGAAAAATATAGAACTTAACGGTATAAGTTTTATATTTTTCTGGGAATATTTAATAATTGAAACTGTGAAAATCGGACACATGGTACTAAACCAAGGGAACAAGAAAACCTTTTGTTTTATCATTCTCACGCATAGAACTTTTGTAACCCCTCCCCCATTCATTTCACCTCATTAAGAGGTGTAATAACTTACTTTTATAAATTTGATAATTAAAAACAATGTAATATAATAATATTTTATTTATTTAGCCACCCTTCACCTACCCATCACTCTCTAGAACTTTCTCTCCACCCTATAAATAGGGTCCTTTAGGAGGAGAGAACATAGAATATTTTTTTAAGAAAAATATATATTTATAGCTAAGTAGAGGGAGAAGTAGTGAGTAAGAGTGGGGTTGTGGCGTTGCTGGAAGGGAGAAAAGAGAGACGTGGGAGACGCATCGTCCCGCCAAGATTGTGAAGTTATTGTTTTGTCTAAATCGATATTGAAGGTGTGAAGGTGTGCCGTTGACCTTAATCTTTAGCCATATGTTTCATGTTGATATATTTTTAGGTATTTTATGAACCTCTTGAATTTGATAAAGTAGAAAGATGAGATATATGTATATATATATACACATCACGCAACAAAAAAAAGGGGAAAAAAACAAGTTACATATTTATTTGTAGATATGGAAAGTTTTATTTACAATTTTCTAGACTTCGGCCTGACTAGAAAGTGGACTAGAAACTGGAATACTTAGTTCATATATTTTTGTGCGTAAAAGTATATATATTTTTTAGCATTTATAATAAATCTTTGGTTCCATGAGAACAAAAAAAATATTCTAGAGTAATAGAGAATATTCAAACCTTTGGTAATTGTCAAGGAAAAATATATAAATGTTTATGCAACGCATGTATCACACACTCAGCTATCAAAAACTTGGTGGTTTGGAAAAATTAAAGAAAAATTATGTGTATGTTTTCATGTTTATGCATGCTTAAAATATAAGGGTTTTCTTGCATGTAATTGTTTTTTAGAAAATAAATCAAACAAATAAGAATTTTTCTCTATTCATAGAAACGTGGGTTGTTAGGATAAATAACATCATTTGTTTATTTATAATAGGCTCAGTAATTAATACGGAGTAAGTTAAAAGGAAATAAAAGTAGGTTGTTTTCTTTTTCTGCTATGGGGCCGAATGAGAGACACAAAAAAAAAAGACTAATACTTGCATTTATTTTTGTGTGACAAATGAAATATAAATTTGGGAAGTTATATACTTCAATTACTGAAGCAGTGATTTGTTGTAAAAAAAGGAGATGTGTTTCTATTACAGAGGGGACCATGATTGAATAAGGGTTTTGAAATAAACCATGCAGGATTGGAAATATCAAATGTGATTTAATTAAATCACTACAAGAATGCAGGTAGAAAAGAGACGCTAATTTAGTCTCATAATTGTCTCGAACGTGAGACGAAAAAGAGACGAATTCATCAGTCTCATTAATTTCGTCTCTTTTAATTTGAGACAGGAATATTCCGTCTCTTTTTGTTTGGGACGGAAATGAGACGGCATAAAAATGAGACAGAATTCCGTTTCTTTTTTTTTGGGACGGAAATGAGACAACATAGAAAAGAGACAGAATTCCGTCTCTTATGTGTATAAACTTGGCCAGCCATAATTCAAAATTATTCATTTTAGAGACTAAAATCTGTCTCAAAATCTAAATATTAAAAAAAACAAATTGCTGATATTAATAGCCTAAAAACAAATTACTGATATTAATTGCTGTTATTGGAACAATATTTTTTTACTTTTTTTAGAATAAAGCAACCCAACAAAAAAAATGTCTTAAACAATCTTAATATTGTAACGCATGTCCAATGTGATCTAAAACTTGCTACAAAACATCAATTTTTTTACAAATAAGTACACCAAAGAAATAACATTAAATAAACACATTCATCATGATCCAAAACAATGTAATTGCAGCAAACATACTTCCTCAAAACAAATTCATTCTTCAACATGTCCAAGACTCAAAAACATCATTGTACCAAGCTCTTATTTATGACAATGTCATCATTACTTGTGTGCTTGCAGAGCGTTTACTCTTCATCTTCTTCTACATCTACCAAAAAAACAAGTATAAAATTGTTACCTAGCCAATAGAATATGAAGAAGTTGAATACTTGCTTTTTTTTTAAATTTTGAATCTACCTGTGATCCAACTCATCATCATCTGAAGAGCATAATGAATTGTCTGAGTCCTCACTATCATTTGAAAAAGGTTCAAAGGGGGGCTGTTCTGTTCTTGATGGCCGAGGGAGTTTCTTTTTGCTTCCAGATTTAGATCCACTAGCAACTAGGAAAGTATTCACTTCACTCTCTTGAATTATTCCTCTTTTTATTAGTCCTCGATAAACATTTGACATTGATGCATTGAATGACCTCATTTTGTTTCTTAAATCATCTATTTCTTCTTCAACCTCGCGATGACGTTTTCTTTCTTCTCGTTGAGCCATTTTTGTTTTTTCCAATTTTTTTTCTAAACTCTCTATTTTTCCTTTCCAGGCTGCATCTTTCTTCTCCAGTTCTGCTTTGAGATTCTCAACCTCACTACTATCCACCTTTTACAAAAAAAATATTAAGCACGTGTAAAGAATAATAATTAATGTCCAAAAAAAGAATGGTAAGAGCTTAAAATAAAATAAAAGGCATCATAAAAATTTCATTTTACAAAACATAACACCTAATATGCATAAACAATCATATTTACCTGTGATGTCATAGTCGCTGTAGTAAATGCATCAGGATTAGAAAACTCCAAAGGGACACCTATCCATTGATCTCCCTTTTGAACCCCACCAGATGCTTGAACCCAAGCATCTTTATCAAACACTGGCCACTTTTCACGATCTTACTCAAACTTTGTAACCATAACTTCACAATACTTTTCCTAAGAAGTTAGAAAAAAGTGTGACAACATGTAATATTTAAAAAGGCATGAACCTGTAAATATGATATACTCCGTACCAAAATTCGAGTATGTCGAGTTGGATATGGTTGTCCAGTTTTTGGATTAGTGCACATATGTTGTAACAGCTCATCTAAACGACAAGGACGACCTAGTTGAATAGACTACAAAGAAGCCACAAAAAACCATATATTTAGTCAATCAGACTTCGTTTTTGAACCCAGAGTACTCACACGTAAATATTATTTGTCTTACCAATTCTTTTAATATCTGTGACTTTGTCTTTGTGCCCAATGTACTTCTTGTTGTGACCTCACCTTCAAGTAGTTTACCTAAAAATAAAAGATACACAATAATCAATTAAAAAGAAAAGTTCATAAAATATTACAAAAAATAGAACTTTACTTATTTCGAGATCACCTTTTTGATTTGCGGAACCAGCTTTTGATTTCTTTTGCCACTCCTCTGAGTTCCAAATTGTACATAAATTCTTCCAGTTCTGCTCACTTATGTTACTTGGTCGAAAAGGAATAAGGCGAGAATAATCTTTATCTGGCAAAAAATCAGGGATTGATTTTTGAATAATGTCCCTTCTGATCCTATTCAATTTTTTTCGATATGAGCTTTCAACTAAGTGGAAGTAATTTTTCCACACTTTTGTATGATGTGAAGGAGCCCATCTGAAACGATGCTGTGAAACGTAACGTAATAAACTTTTAAATCAGTGCAAGTAACAAGATTTAGATGTAAACAGACACATAATTTTTTAGTTTCTGAGAGGGCTTGCCTGAAGTTGTTCCCAATACGTATCTCGAGCATTTGTTATGCCTAAGAACTTAACTGCTTCAGGGTTGAATAGCTTTTTATTTATGCGTCGAACCTCTTGAATCACAGTCTGGTTGGAAAAGAAACTGCAAAAAATAGAATAATGAAACATAGATTTAAGTCAATTGAGAGGGGGTGTTTTTTTTGGCGCTGCTTTTTTAGAAAAATTTGAGAATTAAAATTTTAGTTCTTTTTGGAGGCTATCTCATTTCAATTGAGAGGGGGGGGGGGGTTTGGGCACTGTTCTTTTTTTTTTGGAAAATTGGAGGACTAAATTTTAGTTCTTTTTGGAGGCAATTCAAATTATTTGGAAAATTTTTTACTACCCCGTCCCTTAATTTGAGGTCAAAAATTATCAATTTTGACCAAAAAATGTCAAAAGTTGACAAATTTGGGAATATACAACAATATTTAATATTGTGAATAATGTCCAACAAACTGATTTTGGGAATATACAGCAATATTTAATATTGTGTTACATAATGTAATGAGAATTATATAACAAACAAATTTACAATGGAAAAGAGAAATGATTATTCTTCGTCTGTTGATAAAAATGTATAAGCTTCTCAATTATTTTGTTGTAAATCATCTCAACCAACATTGAACTCATTGTCGTTGATTAGAATTGGTTCTTGAATTGATCCCTCTTGGTACGGCTCGTTTTCAAGAATATCAGTAATACCAGTTTCTCCCTCGATGCTTCTAATATCACATTCGATGTGAAATCGAGGCTTTGTTATCACAACAACACGCCAATAACAAAGAGATGTGTGAGGGTATTCGAGATAAAAGACTTGTTGTGCAAGGCTTGCTAAGAGAAATGGCTCATCAGGTGGATCTAGACGTGAGTTCCACTTTACATCGGTGACTCCTGAAGCATTATTATGTCGAACACCACGAGTAGGATCAAACCAAGTTCCTTTAAAAAGAGTTATAGAATAATTGCAGCCTCTCCCAAGATAAGTCAATTCAACAATGTCATCAATTATTCCATAGTACTCAACATTAACGCCTTTCACAGCAATGCCCCAATTCGCAACTTTTTTTGTTTCTCCATACTTGTAAGTGTGAAAGCGAAATCCGTTACTGAAACATCCACTATAAGATCTTGCTTGTGAAAGTGGTCCTCGAGAAAGCTCAAACAAACATGCGGGTAACTGTGTGTGATTTTTATCGGCAAACATCTTAAACCATCTAGCGAAGTCCATCTTTCGTCTATAATCAGCCTCTCGGTCAGTGAGCAATGGAAACGTTTGTCAAAGAAGAGTCTCGAAGTGTCTGAAATAAATAATCATATTAATTAGTCGTCGTATTCGTATAATGACATTAAAATTAATACACACAAAAACTAAATTTAAAATTTTTCTGGCACTTACTGTACATAAGGTGTCACTTCTAGGCAGTTCATATGCACACATGTGTGTGCTTGATGGAGTTCATTGTCTTCAAGGTAACGTGCAACACCTTGACCAGGAAAATTTCGAACATGTACTCTGAATATAGACAAAATATTTGATATACCTTCATCAAGTGACCTAATCGGCTCAAAATTCCTTGGAATTGGATTTACTTTGGTACCAAGATTGTCTGTAAAGTAATGTTCAGTTAAGAAACTCATCTCTTGCACAAGATATGCTTCCACAATTGAACACTCAATTCTTGCTCTGTTTCGGATTTTGTGTTTCAAACTTTTCATACACCTCTCAAATGGATACATCCAACGCAAGTGAACAGGGCCACCCAATCTCACTTCTTTTGCCAAATGAACAGTTAAATGTTCCATCACATCAAAAAAGCTGGGGAGGAATATTTTTTCTAATTTACAAATTGCAATGGTAATCAGTTCTTGCAATTTTTCGATTTCTTCTATTTTTATTTGTTTCACACACAATAGCCTGAAAAATTTGCAAAACTCTGTTATTGCCTCCCATATTACATTGTTTAATGCCCCTCGAAGTGCAACTGGAAGAATTCGTTGTATAATTATATGACAGTCATGACTTTTAAAGCCATAAAAGCTATAATTAGACATGTTCACATTCGTCCCCAAGTTTGATGCATAACCATCTGGCATTTTAACCTTTTTAAACCACTTACATATATCTTCGACGCTTTATTTTCAAGTGTATACTCTGCCTTTGGTATTTTTTGCCATATGTAGACAGCCATAACTCTCGCCGCATATTTAAAATTTCCATGTCTCGTCGAGAATTTACTCCATCTTTAGTTTTACCAACAACATCCATAACTGTGTAAAAAACATTTTCAAAACAATTTTTCTCTATATGCATCACATCTAAACAATGTCGGAGTTGTTGATCTTTCGAGTAAGGTAATTCCCAAAATATAGATTTCTTTATCCAATTATGTGTCACACCAAATCCAGGAACCTTAGTGTTATCATATATACTTCCAAATGGTGGAAACACAAAGCTCTCTAATGTTTCTAGAATTTCAAACCCTAACATATCAGGTGTGGGAACACCAAGTGCACAACATTTAGGCATGAATGCTGTTGTATTTCGTCTAAATGGATGATTTGAAGGTAAAAATTTTCTATGGCAATCAAACTAACATGGCTTCCGGCTATTTTTCAAATAAAATGAACCTTGCCCATCACCACAATATGGGCAAGCCAACTTCCCATGTGTACTCCACCTAGACAACATGCCATATGCTGGAAAATCACTTATCGTCCACATAAGGCATGCACACATCATAAAGTATTCTGACCTTAGAATATCCCATGTTTGGATGCCTTGTCGCCACAATATCTTTAACTCGTCAATTATAGGGCGTAAATACACATCAATGCTTCGCCCTGGACTAAGTGGTCCTGGAACCAACCCTGCTAAAAGTATATGCGGTTCCTTCGTAATAAGCTCCGGGGGTAAGTTAAGTATGATGATGAATATAGGCCATAAAGAATATGCACTTCCCGTCATTGAATTGGGATTGAAACCATCTGTGCATAGAGCAAGCCTAACATTTCTGTTAGAATAAAGGCCCAACGCTAGAGGGGGGGTGAATAGCGTTTAAAACAAAATCGCAGGAAATTAAAACGAGAGCGTTAAAGTAAAGAGCGTAAAGAAGGAGCACACCGGATTTTATCCTGGTTCACCACAACGTGTGGCTAATCCAGCCCCCCGAGAGACTCTCTCGAGCTACACTAACTCCGTTAAGCTTAAGGGTGCTTAACAAACCGATACAACTTGAGAACCCGAGTCACACGAGCCTCAACACCTTTGCTCGGAGATACCGCACTCCAAGACTTCTCACGAAGGAACAAGAAACTTCCTTCGAGTTTACAACAAGGGAACAAACTCCCTTAAAGTGTATGAAAACACTTAAACACTCAGGAATAAAACTCTCACAAAGAGTAGATATGAGTGAACTAGTAAACGCTCAAGAACACGACAATTTCTTCAAGAATTGGCTCTCAAATAGCTAAGAAAAATAGGAATGATTATGCAATGAAGGAGTATTGAAATGTTGAAGAATTGTGTTTTAAAAGAGAGAATTTGGGTGCCATTTTATAGCCCAAAATGGGATAAAACCGTTGCTAGAATTTCCAACAGGATGAAGACAAATTTT